CGTAATAACTGGCGGAAAGATGCGATGCGATGCGATGTGATGCGATGCTACGACGCCCCCAATATATACTTTAGGTATGTAGCAGCGTGGGTAAGTAGACATACATGCTTACATGTCCCCCCTCCCCCCAGCTCAGCCCTCCCCTTCTCCCGACTGCGCGCCGAAATCCCGACCGATTGGATGCAACGGTTTCCACGCGAGCGGCGATGCATGCGCGCGCATCTGTCCTGTCCTGCCCATGGCCCATGTTGCAACGTGGTCTCTCGCAGCCGTCCCTGCAGCAACGTATGTACGTATGTACGTCTGCACGGGTCCTGAGCCATGCCGTCGGATCCTCTGGGGAGGAAGAAAGAGAGATTGGAAGTTTGTCCACTTCCCTACCAACCAACCTATCAACCTACCAACTTAATTTCCTAGCCCCTCTTGATTTGCGTATGAGGGGAAAGATGGGAAAGATGGGAAAGATAGATAGATAGATAGATAGATAGATAGATAGATAGATAGATAGATAGATAGATAGATAGATAGATAGATAGAGTAGGTACCTAGGTAAGTCAGTAAGTAAAGAGGCAAACGGGTGTTGAGCGTAAAGGACATGGGATTCGGCCACGTGGTTGCTCTGTGCGACGACACCTTGGCTTCTTATACCGGGATCATCCTCGGTAGCCGCGCCGTGCCTCCTTGCGTCAGAGATAAGGTACTAGGTTAGCTATCCTAATCTGCTCTAAACTTTGCTGTCCTTCCGTCGTGGGTTCGGGGCCCTCGGTTCCAGGTGATGCGATGTCACGCACGGGTAGGGAGGAGTCGATTATGACGTACCCCGAACCACAGAAGCCGTGCGGCTCCAACGTGTTCGTCTATCTGCATAGTAACGATGGGTTGATTCGGGCTCGGGTCTGGCTGCTGGGCTGCTGGGCTGCATCGTGGGGTGTATATACATGCCTATTATACATATATCATCATACATATATCATCATACATATATATCTGCCTCGAAGTATCTGCTACAAAGTCAGTCCGTACCTATAACAGCGCCCTGGACATGTACATGCTCTATGTACCGACCTGCGACTTTTATTCTATTCGACAGCCAAGTGTCGATTGATTGATTGGCTGTCTGTCGCCAATAGGAGATGTGATGCGGTGCCCAGGGTGGCTATTGAAGCGTGTGTTTATTACTCAGACGTCACCGAAGCGTACCTAAAGACGCATAGCTAGCTACCTACCTATGCTAGGTGAGCTTAGGTAACAGATATGCCTCGGGGCAGGGAGGCCTCGCGGAGTACCTAGTTCGTGGATATGATTGTTTGATGGATAGGAGTACCTATAAGCTACGACGGTGATGCGTATTAGTGTGCTAAGAGCAATTTGCCGGTGGTGATGGATTAGAGCTGGGGGAAGTAGGTACGCATCCTAGTAAGTCGATCGATGTACGTGAAATAGAGCCGCATGCAGGTGCACTGCTTGTAGCATTTGTTGAAGTATACCCTGAGTACCTATCGTCTGAGGTGCGTCTAGGACATGGGCCAAGGTAGATGAGTACTTGAGTGTGAGGTTTAACCGCCGACGGCAGTCTTCTGTTTATACATACTGTTACTTGTTCCCCCCTGACTAAGCCATGTGTGTTCTTTAAGTCGGCAAGCTACCTGATAAAGCCGTAGGCGTAATCCGTGTTAATCCCGTCGGTCTGTTGGGTATATATATATATTGGAAGTGCGTGAGATATTGATGACCGAGGGTTCCTAGAGGTATGTTCCATGATGACAACGACGCGAGTATGTCTGGTATAGGTTCTTAGGGAGGTGCGGGAATGTAGGTCTCGAAAGTAGTTGTCTTGTATTGTACATGCACACTGCCTTTCTTTCAACTAAGATATTCTATCGTCGGGATACGGAGGTAAGTAAAAGACTAGATTACAGCCTTGCCATGCAAGAAGAGTTGTAGCTACGAGGATAAAAGTAGAAACTAGAACTTGTGCGTCTTCGATGTGTACTCTTTCTGGTGGTTTCATTAACTTTATATCTTGGTACGAAATCAGGGGTTTGATATATCTCCTATTAGCACCTTCAGTGTGTTAAGAACAAGACTACCACAAGTTTGAACTCTCTAGAAAAGCAGAAACCTATAAATGTCCATTCTATGCCCTTTATAATACGAAATTCTGAACAAAGCTTTTTGCTCTACTGGACCTTCGTCGCCGCAATCCTACCCTCATAGCTGGTTATGGCATACTTTAGATGCACTCTCGTAACTGAATCCAGTTTGCTAACCTTTAAAATTAGGATAGTCTTGATAGTGAATCTTGATAGACAAAAACAATATGTTATTTTGAGATATTGTACAATAGTAACTACGATCCTTTCAGAAAATCTTCGTATATTATATTAGTCTAGGCACAGAAAAGGGGTAGCGGTCTTCTACCAACCATGAGTATAGACAGCTAGGATATACGAAACTACCTAAGTCTACCCTAATATCTGTTTTGTATTTCTAGCATTCTCGTCTTCGGCACTATTTCCCACCCCCAAAATTTAGATTCTTCATTTCCTAGAGCTGGTAGCTACCTATCTAGAATACCACGGGCGAATCTATTATACGAGATACGCGAGCTAGCCTAGTGTTTCGCTGTGATAGAAATGTAGAGTAGAGGTGTAATTAAGTGATCTAGAGATGGTTGGTTGGGTACTATACAGAGCTCCCCTGTGCCCGAAAATCGCATTCCGGCTCCTAGTCACCACTTGGCCTGGCTGGTACGGTTATAAATATGTGGTTGATGTCTCTTGAATCCTTCATTGGGGATAGCTAATGGATGGTCAAGGAAACGCTCGTTCATATATTCCAGGCACCTTTGATACTTACTCCCGCAGGGCTGGGAGGGCTGGGTGTTAACCCGTATTCAACTCCTAGGCTACATCAACCACCTAAGACCGAGAGCTTTCAGCTATACCAGTGGTCGGGTCCCGGTGAGGTTCATAGTTCCTCGCATTTCCACAGAGTTCCGTTCTTGTCCATTGCCTGTATGCTCGCACAGCGCAACCCACCCACGTATCTCCCGTGATAGCGAGCTATGATTTTACTTCGTCTGGGAATAGCTTCTTGTCCCCCTAAACGAATCCCAAGCGGTGACCGAGCATCACTATGACCCTCTACTGGGCCCGCTCTTGCTAAGACACGGCTCTTGACCTCATTACTAGTGTCCTGCCTTCGTACGGTATAAACCAACTCGTGCTCTTCGTAGAATGCCGTATCAATGCAATTACACTAGTAACGCCCCAATAACAACTCGACATAGTAACATAAGCCAGTATCGCAACTAGAGTTGGTCAGTGGTATGCGCCGACTTCAGCATTCCGAACGCATGGGCAGTCCAGCAGAGAAAGAAAGTAGACACCCAATGCGCAGGCTGAACTAGAGCAGAGATACTTCCATCTTCTTATACAACACCAAGCCAACAGTCACGATAACGGGACTCCATTAGTAACCGCATACACACACATACACACACACACACACATCACCTATGTATACGTTTACCTAACAACAAATCCCCAACCCCACGAGTTCGCAAACGCGGTCAACCCGACACCTCCGCAAGGTGAAGCGAAAACGGAACCGAAGTCGACCTGGGGAGGGGACCTGACCGCATTTACACTACATACACCACGCTACACCCCAACCCCAACTCACCGGCCTATCTGCCTACATATGCAGTGCAGTTCGACCCCGTAAAAAGGGGGCCATCACATGTCGTTCTAGAAACTTCACCTACACATTGCAAGGTCCGCCTACATAACGGCCCACGTCTCCACCTGGAAAAGAACTGCGTTGGGGATAGCGGCCCGCATGCATGGGAGCCACACATGCACGTCCGAAAAGAAACAAGAAAAATATGCCTATCGGGGAGCTTTCTTCACCCCCCCCCAGACTGCACGTGGCGAGTGGACCGGCTAGCTATGCATAGTGTGCATACATAGTTCCGACCGCGTCTGGCCAAATCGCTGGAGCCGACGATATCGGATGGAGGTAGTTCGGGATCGCCTGGCGGGTGTTACTGGAGCGACATTACGAGAAGCCATGAATATTTACGCGTGCCAGCAAAATAATACAAAAAAAGCTCCTCTTATTGGTAGACAGGAAAATAAAGTAGGGAAATGAAGTATGTATGTATGTATGTATGTATGTAGAGATTCTCGAGACACGCAGACACCTTCACGGATTTATGGGTATTCTCAATCGTCGTTCCCATAAATTAATAAATTTGCCTTCTACACAGCTACTTCGTAGACCAGCTAGGCTACCGACAGAAGGGTTATTTGTGACGTAGCGCCTCCACCGAAAAGACTCTAGACCTACCTGATGGACGAGTAGTAACACGGGTAATATTATTTTGGTAGGATTTAACCAAAGAAAGAAGAGCAGCCAGTGTTTCCCAGTTACCAGTCTAAAAGTGCCACGATGTTCAAGCAGCGACATCGTACCCTATGTTAGAGAGTTGAGCGTGCCATACATTTTGCGACAGCATTTGTCGTTTTGCGACTCGTAACGTAACTGAAACCGTACCGCTCCGAGAGGCGCATGATATCGATTGGGACACAGACCCGTGGCTGACGCGACGCTGTTCCTTTACCGAGACTCCTTTGGGTTTGAAGTACTCCCCTGACACACGGACCGAAAAGGTTCAAAGAGTCTTTAATAATTAATTTTCGACTCTGGACGGAAATATGCCATACATAGCAATTCCCAATTCGGGCCACGTCGCTTTGATGTTTGGTCCACGCCCGGGGCCTTTAATTAAAAGAATGCTCCAACACTGCCTTCGGACCTATTTGTATCTATCGCCCACGAAAGATCTACAACGTTTCGTTGCGGGGCTAAGCAGGAGACAGGAGTTCGTAATCATGATATCTCGGTAGTCACGATAGCGCTCGCGCCGCGATAACGGCTGTTGGTTTCGATAGCGCTCCGCGTTGGCTCCGGTTGAGACCTCAGACTGGTGACTGGTGACTGGTGACTCGCTAGTTGGTAGCTTAGTTGGTAACAGTTGGTACCAGTTAAATAGTGGATGATAGTACATAGAGATAAGCAACAATAAGCTTCCCCAGCCCCCATGACCGGGTGTGGCCAACTAGTAAGACCTACCTGTTCGGTTGAATGATTCAGCCAGGTGACTTATACCCAAATTCTTGGCAATTTAGCCTGACTAGCAACATTCCTAACTAGGTCTTCCGTCTTGGTCTAGATTAGAGCCGGCTTCATGCCGAAAATAAGTCGGGGCGGAACGGGAGTTTGTGGGTACCCGGTGCTTTAACTTGAGCCGAACCCACTTTATTTGTCTAGACTCGTGAATGAAACAATTTGGGATTGACAAATTACGGGTGATCGGAGTCTTACCTAATAGACTTAACAAAGACCCCTGAAGCTGATCCTTTCTTGTTCATCCTTTTTTGCCCTTGCTTTCTTCCCACACCTGCACACCCAACCCACGCTGCTTCGTGGGAGGCCCACTTGCACATGCTCCCTACTAGGGCTGCTTCAAAGCCTCGATACCCGTGTTTGTGCTTCGAAGAAATTGCAGTAAATTGCCAATAAGACGCGATGCAGGCGAAACAAGCTTTCTTAAACCGGGGCGAGTTAGACCCAGTGGCGTGACTTTCCGATCTGTCAGGCCACTTTGTCAGCCTAAAGACCCCTAAAAATGGAATCTCTTCCTTTCTTTTATGCCCATTGGCGCCAGAGCTTCCCAATCCAGCCACGACACTCTTCCAAGTAGAGTATCGCAATAAACATTCTGTCACATTCGGTCCTAGTTGCCGAAGTCGGTCTCGCTTCTCGTAGTCAAAATTTGACCGAGGTGAAAAATTCTTCGGGAAAACCCTCCACGAGGGATGATGAAATCCTGAACAGGGGTTTGCGACCGTTTTAACTTCTACGAGTTTTTCTCGTGCTGCTGTCCTTTGGTAGACCGTAATTCTTTTTTCCCATCTTTTCTGCTTATCTCCAGTTTCCTTTGTAAATTTTCTGGGATTATCCATATAATTAAGAATATCGGCTAGACAATATTAGAATAGACGGGGCCCTCATAGATTCGACATCCTACGGTTCCAAACCTCACTACATAAAGGCGTACTTCTCTCTTTATCGCAATCTCATTGCCTCCCGAGTTCACTGTATGTTGCCTCTTCTCACTCTTTTCATCTTCTTCTAACCTGGTCTCCCGCAGACGATACTTGCTGGAAGGGAACTCGAAATAGAACTAACGCCCTCGCCGACGCCAAAATGATTGTTACACGTCTTATCTCCCTGACGAACTTTGCCGTCGCTTCGTCCGCGCTTGGCTTCCAGGTTTTTGTCCTGTACCCGTGGCATATCCAGCTGGACAACTCGTTTGAGGAACTCAAGAAGGAACATCTCAGGGTTCTGGATGCGGTTAGAGAGGTCGCAAAGGAGGTTGATCCGGATTCGAGGAAAGGAGTGGCCGACTCTATCTTGGGACGCTTGGGAATGAGCGCTTTCAGTGTCAAAAGGTGATTTCAATTTTAGCAAGCATGCAGTAACGATGATTGTCTTATCCAAACGAGATTGATACTTATGCCATCTCTTCCACAGTTTGTTTTTGCCTAAGCCAGAATCTCCCGTTACCCTCAGTGTTTTCGACAACAGTAATCCTGTAAAATATGTCGCAGACGGCGTCGCCAGTATTCCTCCCCTGTCGATAAGCTCAGGGATGAAATTTTCGGAGGTCGCAAGATACGCCTTCTCGGGAGCGATTTGCTGTTCATTTACTCATGCCCTACTGACTCCAGTCGATGTGTAAGCCAAAATGATCTCGCATATTGGCCATTGCCAATAGGAAAATATTGAACGTTTATTTATATATCGCGCCAAGAAAGCTGATGCATTAGGTACTCAGGGTCAAGACCCGGGTTCAGCTCGAACCAGTTAAATATAATAGAGGCCTGGCAGGCGGGATGCGCCAGATCGTCGTCAATGACCGTGCTGGAGCACTCTTGACGGGATTCGGACCGACGGTGACGGGATATTTCCTGCAAGGAGCTTTTAAATTCGGCGGCTACGAATTTTTCAAAAGACAAACGAACGACTTTCTAGGGCCGGAGAAAGCGGCTGCACACCGGAATGCTGTATACCTTGCCTCCTCTGCTGCGGCCGAATTCCTTGGTGACATTCTGCTCTGCCCATTCGAGGCTGTTCGGATTAGATTAGTATCCCAACCCTCATTTGCACCTAATATGCTGTCCGCATTCGGTAGGATGGTCAAGCACGAAGGAATGGCTGGCCTTTACTCCGGGTTCATGCCGATAGTATTGAAACAGTAAGCCTGTTTTGATATCATTGTAGCCGTGTCACATAATTGACTTTAGCATAGGGTCCCGTACACGATGGCGACGTTTGTGGTGTATGAAAAGGCTCTCGAAGTAGCTTATTCCTGGATCAACAAAGAAACGGCATCGAGCACAGCACTTTCGGGAGTGAACCTCGGTTGCGGTCTTATTGCGGGTATGGCAGCTGCGATAGTTTCACAGCCCGCGGATACGGTATTGAGCAAGATCAACAAGGAAAAGGGGCGACCAGGTGAAGGAACTGCGCGACGTATCTTCAACATCGTCAGTCAGCTTGGCCTTCGCGGAAGCTACGCAGGTATTGGACCTCGGTTGGTCATGGTGGGAGGTATGACGGCCGTCCAATTCGGAATCTACGGCCACATCCAGAGAGTATGATCCCTTGCTGCTATTTCTATGTGATCCGGTTGAGAACTAACGATTGGTGTAGGCTTTGGGCGCGACTAAGAGCACCGCCGAAGTTAAGCAAGAAAAGCCTAAGGTTATGGAGGTAGTTAACCTTCTACAAACCGCGAAATATTAATGCTAAACAGGATAAGTAACTTATACGTTTGGTATTAATACCTGTCGTATAAAATTCACCAGGGACCGGATGATGCTGGCATTTCCGGTATTTTATCCTAGCACAAGAAACGATTGAGCATGAATTTAATAGATCTGATGTTTATTTTGTATATATAATAGATGTAGAGATAGAAGGATAAAAGGATTCGGGTATATAATTTAGAGTGGAATAAATGAATAAAAGGAGGCTTGGTAGTTATTGTTGTGTTGCGTAATGGTGGCTTGCTTCTTAGAGACAGATGATGAAAAGTATGAAAACGAAGATATATTAACAACTGTTAAAGCAGAAGAGCAAAAATTAAAGGAGAAATTGAGGGAATATACCTACCTGGTGAGGAGTAGCACCTTCTTTGTCATAGGTACCAGCCTGTAATTCGTGCAGGAATGAATACATGTATATAGAAGTATCAGCCCCGCCTTGAAGTTTACTTAAGAAGTACCTAACCTTAGGTAATTCGTACCTTACATCACCTATGACCACCTTGTCCGGCCCCACCCCGCCCCCACCATCAATTACATAGCAAACGGTAATTCTTTGAGTCAACGGTCAACAATTAACATTCCCTCTCAAATATTTCCAGCGCATTATTCTACGACGCCGTTTATTGTTCCAGGCTCCAATCTTACTATCCGAGTACCCCGAGAATACAGAATGTCGAGCAGACAGTTAAGAAAACTTCAAAAGCAGAAAGAGCTGGAAGAGCTCCAAGCGAAGAATTCTCTCGAGGAGGAGGACGACGAACTGAGTGATGACGACCGGCCCGTCCAGAAACCGAGAGCAAGCGCATTTTCCGGGTTTGCAGCGCTCGGGGACCAGGATGACCAGGATGAGGATTCCGACCACGACGCGAAGGAAGACGAGCAAGTAGAGGCCTCAACAAAACCAAGTGTCGAACCCAACCGTACCGATGCCCCTAAGAGCTCATCGAAGAAGAGCAAGAAAAAGAAGAAGAAGGCTAAGAAGCAAGATGGCGCTACCGTTAAGGCTGAACCCATTGCGCAAAGCGGTCCAGACGAAATTGATCAAGCGCTGAGGGAGCTCGAGCTTTCCAACCCCGGAAAAGAAAACGACGATGATTTTCAATTGAATATTGTCAAGCCTTACGAGCGAATTTGCGAACTCCTAAGCATCAATGCGTACCACCTTAGGGTAATCAATGAGATGAGCAACCTATTTGGTCGAGAAGCTATTGCTGCCGCCCAGATCGAGGAGCAAGAACAGACGCGTACTAGAAGACAAAGGCAGCCGTTACCCCAGCAAGTTGACCTAGAAACCTACCTTAAGGGGGTACCGGGAAAGGGCTTGCCTGAAGTAACGCTGCGGCGGAACCCCTTTTTAGCTGGCAAGGAAACATGGCCACGTGCTTCTACGGAGGGCCTGACTATGGAACAGTTCAAGGAGGAGAAAGAAGGAGTAGCTTGCCTGCCGGGCACTATTGAGTTCCGCTTTGCGCATGATGCATACTACAACAGGTTGGAAAATGCGTTCTTTGACCTCGTCCAGATGTACGACCCTATGCAGATAGTGCATTTTCTACATCTCCATCCGTACCACGTCTCCAGCCTTATCCAAGTTAGCAGAATCGCGAAACAAGACCAGAATTCGGCGCTCTCTGCGGACTTATGCGAACGAGCCCTTTTCACCTTTGGCCGCGTCTCGCTATCGACTTTTCGACAGAAGATAGAGCAAGGGAAAGCGAGATTATCGTTCAACCGCCCGGAGAACCGACAGTTTTGGTTGGCTGGATATCATTACCTTAAGAATCTAATCATGAAGGGCACATACAGGACGGCACTAGAATGGGCGAAGCTTTTACTCAGCATAGATCATACTGATCCGTACGGGGTTATCCACTTTATCCACCCACTTGCCATACGGGCACGCGAATCCAAGTGGTTCATTGACCTTTGCGATTCGGAGATTTTAGATGTAAATCATGCGGCACAAGATGGCCAAGATTACATTAGACAGACCCTCGTACTAGCTAGACTCCAGCAGAAGGACACGGCTGGCGCTAAAGCATTGTTGGTCGAGGGCATGGAGCGCTTGCCTTGGCTATATAGCTATCTCTTCAAAGCACTCAATTTAGATGTTCCTAAGACCATATGGGGCATGCAACCGCGCAACCGAGATGAGGAGCTTCATACAGACGTCTACATCCATCAGACAAAATCATTATGGGATAACACTCAAGCGATATCTCTTTTGAAGGAGGTGGCGGGTGAGGCGAAGAGGGCGGACGTCGAAAAAACGTTCCCATTCCCACCTACGGTTGGGGTTAATCTTGCACGATTCGTCTTCCTACTAGAGATTCCCTCCTTAATAGGATTAGTACCGCGCGACTTGCTAAATACGTCAGTTAATTGGGAGTTTGATCCGCTCCCACCCCCTCTCGAACAAAACATCTTCTCGTACGATTCGCAGAAGCAGCCGTGGACTCCTTCACAACTTGAAGATCGACTTAGGGCTGGCCTCGAGCAAGGGGATCGCCGACAGCTTATGCGAATATTAGCCCAGGCAAGACTAGCCGGTGCACCTGAGGATATTCAAGCGGATCTCGAACGGGCCATCTTGGAGGAGACTGGCGGTGGAGGTGGAAATCACGATGATGGCGGTGATGATGATGGCGAAGTCAGTGAGGACGCATTTGAAGAAGGCGGATCTCAGAATGAAGCTTCTCTTGGCCGCTGGTCAACAATCTTCCAGGCCGTAATGAACCTGTTCGATCCTAATGAAGTTGCTGCCGATTATTTCAATATGCCTAATGAGCCCTTGGGGCATATACCTGGTACTATGCCCGGAACATGGCAGGATGAAGAGTCAAACGAAGAGGGGACGGATGATGAGATGCCTCCTTTAATACCTTTCGGAGACTCAACTAGTCCTAGAGAGCCTGGAAATGAAGCGGATGATACCGGGAATGGAACGGACGACGATATGCCAGGATTGGTGTAAACCCGGTATGGCCTAGTTTGATTGGTACGAATGGGTATAGCCGTGAAAGGCTTCTGGAACATGGCACCGGTATTCGATGACTATGTGTGTAAATAGGTAGAGCTTGCGTGCCACCCATTACTGTAGTTCCTGCAGGACGAACCATGCGGGAACGGGGAACACGTAGATCATGAGGCAACCACTGCATAGAATATGTTGCTGGCTTTAGGTGTGAGTACAAACGTACTCTATAATATGTAACCTACATAAATGTGGAAATCGGCTTTTTAATGTCTACGTTACCTATATTAGTAAGCTGTGATAATTCATCCGTCTGCCTATGATTCAGAAATCTAATTTTTAATTTTGCAATGAGCAAGTTTTTATTTTCTCTCTCTTCGTAATCAAAACTCAAGTCCGGTTTCACATCTGGATGGTAATAATAGGGGGTGGAGGATGGGAAACTTGCTCAGGTTTCATATTACAGAGAGCTGTCTTCTTTGTTGCGGCAGCACGCGAGAGGTAAGGTAATAGGCGTCAGATGTACTGATACGGTATTTGTACTGTAAGCTACTGTATATTTGTATAAGTGAATGTATAGTACACACAGTATATATTTATGTGGGACAAATGCTCCGCACTGTAGTATACTTTGCTGAGTCTTTTATGCGTAGGAGCCTACCTGAAAAAGGCGGGGGTGATATGGAATCGGGTACCTAGTATCAGCTAGTTTAGGGAAGTAACCTACCTGAGGTGTTAGTGCGTTTGGTACCTGGAGTAAGGAATCTGGAACTTGGCCTTCTGTTAATCACGACTTACTTTTTTGCCTGAGGCCTTAGGCCTAACAGACATCATTAATAATACACTTACAAACAAACGTCCAACACACCCTCTCCTGTCTCCTGGGCGGCCGTGCCACCATACACCATACTACCCGAGAGGCATATATAATAACCGTCGCTTGTCCTTCTTCCGGTCATCGCAACAACTTGTACGTAGACAGACAAAGTCAATCCTTACGTTTTTCGGAATCGCAACCAGACAACTTTCGGCTTTCTGACCACCTACCCCGCCGATTTACATCGTTTAGATACCCCTCATATCTTTTTTTTTCTTTTTCGAAAAGTCGATACCTCTCTTTACTATTCGCAATGGCCGACCAGGAACACACTTACAAATTCAACGTCAGCATGAGCTGCGGCGGCTGCTCCGGTGCCGTTAACCGCGTGCTGGGCAAGCTAGAGGGTGAGTTTATTCCCATTTATGCCTTTCGCGATCGCAATGGAGTCTTACACCTGAGCCATTGTTCATTCTTCCCTTTTCTACGTGCGACGATTATGTTGCTCAAGCAAGTAGTTGATACCTATATGAACACACGAATGGCATAGATATATGAAGAAGAAAAAAGGTAAATGGCTAACAATCGCGCGGAACAGGCGTCCAGAGCTACGAAGTCTCCCTCGAGAAGCAGGAAGCCCTCATCGTGGCCAAGCCAGGCCTCGACTACGAAACCGTGCTCAAGACCATCAAGAAGACAGGCAAGAAGGTCAACTCGGGCTTCGTCGACGGCGAGTCGCGCAGCATCGAGGTAGCCGAGTAAGCGATCGAAGACTACAGCAACGACAACGACAACAACATTTTAGTAGCATGACAATGGGATGCGGTGGTTCCGAGTAGTCTCCCGCTGCTTGCGACGAATAGATGTTTTCTGTTTCAGGCCTTCAATATGGGTCTCGCTGGTATCGGGCGTGTTGTGCAGCCGGCTTTCTTAAGTACACTTCGTTATTATGATAAGCGACGGAACGATCTCCGGGTATGGCGTGGAAGTTACATATGATAGTATAAAAGCCAAGGCTCGCGAATATGTATAGCCCGGCATGGATCGATGTTGCATATGCGATGCGCGCAATAGAGAACGCTTTTGAGGCGGTTTTACGAATGAATGCTATTGCTATTATCACTGTTATTATGTGTTCCATTTCTATCTTGTTTACCCAAGTATGACTATATGAAATATGTTAACTAACATAATTGTAACGAGGAGCTCGCTGTTACTACCATGTACTACTGCTGCGTTGTCCGTGATATCTAACGAACTGAATGCTCGTTGCTAAGTCTAGTCAATGGTTAACTATGTATAGTTAGACTAATAAATTTGGGGTTCTCTTATTTATAACATTAATAATTATATTCTACTCACTGACTAAATATCTTACTATTTTGAATCTGGATATATGTACCTATTCACTTTTCTAGCTTTAATATTGAACTTCAGGTCTATAGGTAACAATATGTACCTCGGTACCTCGGCACCTCACTAGCGCCTATCCCGTCCAACCGGGTTGCGGCATTTTCGCTACACAACCTACCTTAGGTACCTAGTGTTGCCAGCGATATAGACGCTACTTTGCGACGTATTTTCATCTACCGCACTAGGAAATCGGCATTCCTCAGAATGTCATCTAACGTCTCGATTGGTCTAGTGGTCAGGATACCTGCTTGTCATTGTACAAGTACGCAGGTGGCCGGGGTTCGATTCCCCGATCGAGAGCATCTTTTTGACGGTTTACGATATCATTCATGTATGATTCAGGCCCGTTAATACGTATCTGGGTTTCTCTTTTTTATTGTTATATCTTATCATCTTCTACCGTCGTCTTCCATGTTTACAATTTTGTACTCCTTTCTGCGGTAGCAACGGCTACCGTAGTCTTTACATAAAAATAGAGTGCGTTGGATTAGTTATTTTCAGTATGCGCAATTTATTAGCGCTGTCTATCGAATCTCGCGCCAATGCTTTCCAGAACCAATGCTGAGAATCGTAGTAGACCTATCATAACTGCCCTATTCTCTCATAGGTTAAGCTTTCTACGAACCTCCCTGTTTAGGAAGTTGTTAAACTACCTAAAGTATAAGTACTTGTGAGTTATCTCATGATTCTATATCTTTCATGTGTCTCATCATAAATTTACCTACCAACTAATCTGCTTCCGTGGATATTAGTAACGTATGAGCCGAGGTAGTCCTATGTCTTATAATGTATACATAAATTAGGTTGCATCGTCAAATCCTCATAGCTGTTGGCGTCTCTAGCTAGAGAGAACATAATTATAAAGAAATCACGAAGGATAGGTCCGCTGGTCTGAGAATTATCATGTGGTTAACCTCCCTGTCAGTTGAATATAGCCGCCGGCTGAACGGCAAGCTTGTCTAAGACAGCATCCAATGGCTACTTTTGTAGAACATATTTTCCCGCATTTGAGCCCCATGGGGATGTGACCCGTTGTTGATTCGGGCAGAGAAGCCCCGGAATTTGGAATCTGTTGTGTGGGGAACGAAGCTTCTCGCTGCGAGAAGACGAGGTGTTGATATATCATATAAATGTTGGGCTCTGATTAGTTCTAGACCTTTGGACACTGCATCGTGACGCGGATTCAAGAGTCGAAAGCAGACTGACGGAGGTACGCATATGGACATGCTTACATGATTGGACCCTTCGTTATGAAGAGCACTCCATCGTAGGATGCCTCGAGAAGTTTCGCTGGCGTCAGGTCGTGGTACCTAGCTGCCTCCCGAGCTAGTATACTTATAGTCCTCAGGGATAGGCCGTACATATATGATCCTCCTCCTGTTGAGTAGTGTAGATAGTAGTGTAGATCATCCAGCGCGCAGCGACGATCCTCTATAACGATGGCGTTCTCTAATATTATACCCTCTATCGTTATTCCCGCTCTCCTTTCAGCTGTCGGCGTACATGCTCACGGTATCGCCAGTGCGATTGTGATAGATAGCACCTTGTAAGCGAAGAAGAGAAGTCTGTACTCCCGCGATCGACTCGTATGACTGACGCTTGAGTACAGCTACGATGGCTATAATCCGAGCTACCAGTGGAAGAACCCACCTCCCACGGTGGTAGGATGGTCCGTCCCGGACGACTTACAGTATGTACCTAAAACCAACACCGCCATACCGATCCTAACTATGTATCAGAGGCATTAGCTGATATTTGAGTCATGTAGAAATACCTTCATCGCTCCCAACCAGTTCAACACTCCGGATATGGTATGCCACCTCGGCGCCAAGCCGGCAGGTGCGGCTGCTCCCGTGAAGGGAGGCGAGGTGATCGAGGTACAGTGGACGCCGTGGCCGGCGTCGCACAAGGGACCGGTCCTCGACTACCTCGCAAACTGCAACGGGCCCTGCGTACGTCTCCTATTCGCACATGAACTAGCCATATATTACTCTGACTATCTCTATCCTGCGGCGAGAAAACTCTTGATTTTCATACTAGACTAACCACTCAAAAAGGAAACCGTCGACAAGACAAAGCTCGAGTTCTTCAAGATCGGCGAGGCCGGATGGGTAGACAAGGCCAGCGACCTGTGGGCGGCTAACGTCCTAACCAACAACAATAACAGCTGGCTCGTACGAATCCCGGAAGACATCGCGCCTGGAAACTATGTCCTGCGGCACGAGATAATCGCACTGCACGCCGCGGGCAACGCGAACGGCGCCCAGAGCTACCCGTTCTGTTATAACCTCGCCGTCGACAGCAAGGGCACCGCGAATCCCGCCGGTATCCCCGCCACCGAGTTCTACAAGGCCGACGACCCCGGCATCAAGTTCGATCTATTTTCGCACCCGACGGCTTATGTGATCCCAGGCGTAAGTCGGATCCGAGGTTCCTATTATTAGGACTTGCGGTTTCGTATCGAAGCTAAGCTAACCTCTTGCAGCCGGCCCTTTACAGTGGCGCGCTCCCTGTGAGCCAGACGAAGCCCGGTCCCATCACGGCCACAGCCACTGGCGTTCACGCGTTTACTGCGCCTGTGCCTGCGCACGCGAGAGCACCGGCTGTACCGACACCGCCGCCGCTTGCTATACCGACTACGCTGGTGCCTTCAGCAAGGGCTGCATCCCCGGTGGTTCCGCAAGCCACGCAAGTGTTGTGAACTTAGCTCAGTTGAGCGGAACGAGTACATATGTAACCTTCATCTAATGTTGTTGCGACCAGACGATGGATAGGCAGTGGCTTTCTCCTCATAGAGTTAACGTTGGTATTATGTAGGCTATTCGCGACCCAATACCAAGACTCGGCGTGATAAAAAGGACATTAAGCGGTTCGTATGCCGGTTAGACGTCAGGATTAAGTTAGCCCTTACTTGGCTAAGCTTTCTTGTTATGAGTTATGAAGAACTCTTGGAAAAGGTCTCCTCGGTTTTAGCATCGAAACATTTCGCCTTACGTCTCTACTATGTACTCCAGGTTCGGTATTGCCGCGTGCATGGATGAGCGTAGCAATATCCGATTACAATATTCGACGTAGCATTTTGTCTCCATACCGCTAATACATATAAATCTATAAATCTCCTTTACCATTCATCTCTTCTGCTGGCCCTGTCCGCCTCATCCTAGCGGCCACGCGAGATAAACCCGGCGAACCGGGGGTTGAGCGTCGCGCGGACAACAAGCGGCTTAGATGCCTCTTGCGGCTTAACGAACTTATCTGCATATCTGTGCATGCTTACGGGTCGGACGCTGGCCAGAACAGATTGCAACGTCGTTAAATTTGTCGTTGCGGGAAATGGGCTGAAACACAGCGTAAGGCGGTCTCGAGGGCCAAAACATCTGTTGATCCATCGTCTCGGAAATGACGATTAGCCTTGGCGCCTCCACGATGTTGGTTGGTATTTGGTTGGTATTTAAAGCTAACCCTCGAATCGGCCGAGACTAGCAAAGACTGCCGGGAAGAGGTACATACTGCAATAGGAGGGACTGAGCTGACTGGGGCTTTGCTAGGATGCTGTATGAATCTGTATGGCTCCTTTGGCCTTGACGAATTCTTGGCAAGCCCCGGGATGGGCTGGATGGAGTAGCAGACTGGGATTTAATCACGTGGCGCGCTTATATTCCCGGTTGAAGTTCTAGACTTATCCCAGGTAGGAATGTAGAATTTAACATACTGCCGTCGACAGCAGTGGGAACTGCTGAAAATCCCTGACGGAACGACTCCATAGCGGAATGCCTTTCCAAGTTCCAACACCGACACGGCCTAACCTAGGTAGTTTGATGATGAGCAGACTGAGCTAGCTGGCTTGGATCCTCTTAATTGACGTCTTATGTTTGTTATTATTCCTTTTCTCGTATTTGCTATTGGCCTTTGATCTATAGTTGTGTGGTGGTCAGGGAGGTCAGAGAGCTCCAGGCAGTCAAGTCCGGTCAGATGTTCCGTCAGATACCGCCTCGGCTTCGTCATGGTCTGGTTCGATCTTATTCACCTCCATGAATCGACTCGCCTGCTGTTAAGTTTGCGCATCCTGGATTCCTGTTGGGCCGAGCTGAGCTGAGCTGAGTATCGGCTGGACATACAAGTCGAGATGGATATTGAGATGGACACTGGGAAATCGCCGGCATCGGTCCAGAGCGGCACTAGGAGTCCCGCTTATAGCTTTGTAGCGCCATCCCGGAGTGTGAAACGACCACGCCCCGTCAAGAGCTGCTTGGAGTGTCGGAAAAGGAAGCTGAGATGTGACCGAGCCTCGCCGTGTTCCCAGTGCCAGAAGACGCAGCGCATATGTCGGTATGCGGCCGAAGGTGAAGTAGTAAGCTTAAGTGATGGTTCGGATGGCGAGGCGCCCGAGAGGAATACCAAGCGGACCCGTCCCGCAGCGAGTCAGGAATCCGGCCAGCGCAATACTAGCTACGAAGCTGTTCTCGAGGACCATGCAGTAAGGCTTGAGCGTCTAGAAGGGCGGTTGCTTTCGAGAACATCGTCTCTTGCCGAGTCTAGTAGTATCCCGGCGCAACGCCCCGCGGCGTCGTCTCTTACGATTCGAGGCTTGACGGTGAAAGGAGGTCTACGAACGCGGTTCTTTGGCCAAAGCAGCACGCGGGTTCTTGTCAACCTGGTGAGTTGCTCCTTGTTTGACGAAAATCTCTATTATCGCGCCAACCACTTTAACTAATTACGTCGTTAGTTTGATGAAGCAAAGGACTTCATGTTTAGTAGGAATAAATCCAACGACACTAGGCAATTATTCCTAAACGTCCAGAAAATACACAAGGCTCTTCAGGATGAGCATCGAAAAGTTACTGCTCCTATTACTGTGTTCGTGGATTCGATGACGCCGATTCAGAAGCGAATGGCCGATGTCTTACCAAGTAGAACGGTCTGCGACACTCTA